GCCAGCAAACCTAAAAATTCAAGTGAAGCCATCTATGAGTGCACTAGAGTCAATTACTTTGTTGCCAACCCAATATTTAATAACATGAAGTTTTGAGGGTAAAAAAACGGTTTGGTGTGCATTGTGAGCCGGTGGAATTATCGGTTCATATTTCTTCAAAAATGATGTGGTGAGAACGTGAGCGTCAATGGCGACCGTTATCGCGCCATGATAACCGACTATTTGATGCCTGAAATCAATCAATCAATAAACCAATCAATCGTAACACACAATAATTGTGCAAATAATAACTTATACATATTGCTGACTGGATTATATTAATAATAAAAAGAAGTTAACTCAATCACTCAAATACGTACTATATAACTGAAAAATAAGCAAGCTAGGCAACTGGCGCTAAGCTCCATTCTGCATAAATGATCATAAAGAGTAAGGATCATCTTTCAAAAAAGTTGGAGCTCATGCTTAAGCAAATAAAAGAACAACTTATTATTATTTGCATATTTTCTGACAAAAAACTTTACTGGAAGTAAAATGAAGGTAAAACCTATTGCGAGAGCATATTACATCAATAAATATTCAAAAATAATCATTACGTTTGACTAGCCAAATGCACTTGTGATAATAAAAGAAGTATATTTAAAAAAAAATATTATAATCTTAAAATAAAACGCAAAATTATAATAAATTTTTTAAAAGAATAGACGCGTGGAGAGATCTGCACACCAATATTAGAATATATATATGCTACTATACAAGTTTAAAAGCACGGTTCTGACTTTGTGCTTTTAATTGTAAGTAATTAACAAAATGCTTTCCACTTTGCTTTCTGGGACCCTGCTTTTACTAAAGCCTTGTTACTAATTATGGTTAATTAGCAACCCACATGCAAGGAAAATTAATAAAAGGAAGGAAGATAAAAAAAAAGTAACGCAGAAAATAATTACCAAAAACTCAAAGAATGAGTGTTAATCTGCGAAAAGGCAAAAAGGCAGTCAACAGCAATAAATCTGGAATAGTTGCAAGGCAATTAGTTAAGAAAATATGGCAGTCTGGAAATTTATTTAATAAAAAATTTAATTTTTATACTAAAATTCATCAGTCGTGTTGAATAGATGACCTTAACGTAGGCAAATAAAGCATTAATTTTATGTAAATAAAGAATTTGTTAAATTTTAAAAGCACAAAATCGTGTATTATATACGAATTTAACCATACTTAGTATTTTGTAGAGATGCAAAGCCATGAAAAAAGTTGAATTCAAAACTCAGCTAAAAATATCTTTTTTTTATATTTCTATTCGAGCAGGCACATACTTTGCAGATATTTAATTGTGTTTTGTACTTTTATATTTTACTTATATTTTCATAGTACTTTGAATCGGTTTTTTTGGAAGTAATTTTTTGCCCACCATTAACATAATTCACACACTAGTCTCCCATGCATATACCAGTTAATGTCATGAAATGCAAATAATTTCCTTTTAACTTATTTTTTTTTATGCCACCATTTTTTAAAATGTCTGTAGGTATTTTGTTTAAGCTTAAAAGTGCGAGAAATATCCAGCTATAAAAGTATTTGCCTTGTGCAATGGTAGGTAGTGAAGAGTTTAATTTGACATAAAAAGCTGCTCAGGAGCTTTGAAAAAAGGCATTTATGTCCATCACATTATTCAACTGGGGAAATGAACTCGCATAAATGAAGCAACATATAGTTGAGTGACGTCCAAAGTGGACATGGCTTGTATATATCCGTATGTTTTTATATTCAAGGTACGTATATATATATATATACATATGTACTTAAATATATAAAATAACATTGCAACAGCAGACGGTAGAGTAAACTTGCGTTCACTATATTTCAAAGTCAAACAAACAGTCAACAACTACGGTCAACTTGGCCGCCAGTTGTGCTAACTGTCACATTTATGTTTCTACAAATGGTAATATAGTACAGTTATTATACTGCTTTGTATGTCTCTCAAGCTTTCAACGGTACATTGTTTAACAGTACTTAAATTCTTATTCAGTCCGGTGAAATGTTTATGAATTTTATTTTGCATAATGTTTAGTAATTGTTATAAGTTCCAGAAATCAAGATTAATCTTCAAAACTACAATGTCATACCAATTCACTTTAGTAAAGTGTGGAATGTTTGTAATCAGTAAGATGGCTTCATGGGTGATGTTATAAGAAATGCAAATTGTGCAATAAAATTACAGTTCACACAAATTATCATCATTATTATTTACATCACATTCACTTAGGCCATCTGTATTAATATAAATCAGCTATCAAGTTAGCTGTTAGCTCTCCAACCGCACCAACACACAACTAAATTTAATACAAAGGAGAACTATTGTGCAAGTTCATTATTTTACTGCTACTCCAAGTTTCTGTTAGCTTTTCTCATTTCTTGGCAAATGGATAGTTTAACTTAGTAATTTGATAACCGAAAAATTATGACAAGCAAATCCTTGCCTAGTAATTCGTAAAAGAGTGCATGAATATTTATGGCAGTAGAACATAGAAGTATGTCTGAAGGCTTAATTTTTTTTATTGCTCTCGTTAGATAAACGATTTTAATGAATAAGCATCACCTAATATACTTTTATATACCGACTATACCCTCGTTACGTATACGCCATGTTGTAGTGCATTAGATACATAAAACGTATAATTTATAAATCGTACATATAATTAAGTCTTCTTAGAGACTAATTAGTTTTCAATAAGTATGCATACAGCTGTCACAAAATTTAGCTTACTAAGGCGACCAACTAGTAATTTTAAACTACTAAACCACGAAGTACCTATAATTATGTGTTAGTACTGAGATTCTTACTACCGTAATCTTGGTTACGAGCTTCAAAACCAACTCTGTCGCCGATAAAGAAATATTTGTTATGATTAATGATCAATTTTTTAAGAAATTGTGTAACAAATGTGGTCCGTTACACAATTTCTTAAAAAACAACAACAACTTTCGCTTAACAACTAAGCTTAAGCTTTATCTGTTAAAAGTTTTGTGCGCAAGTGATCAAAAATAAGTCTTATGCAAACAATACTTAGATGGATGTTTGGCAAATTCGAGAGAAATGGGTTTTTAATGAATATTTAATACCTACGTAATCACGTTAAGGCACGAGCGCCAACGTGTTCAAGTTTTATGAACATTTTGCTTAGATTTAAAATTAATATCTAAATTAATTTTCCCATAATCGCTTAGAAATATTAAATGGTATAATGAAAATAACTTAGTTTGCAGCTTTTAATGACATATTAAGCAAACATGCATTATATTATAGCAAACAAAGAAGAATCTATTAAAATTTTATGCTATATAATGCAAGCATCGAAAGATTTCGTTTACCTAGGATTGCAAAATTTCATTTTAAATAAATTTATTCATATTGTGTACTACTATAATAAACTAATTTCTGTACAAATGACCAGGGTATATTAAGTTTGTCATCAAGTTTGTAACACTCAAAAAATACATTTATAAATTATGCGGGTGATGAGCTAAGTAGATTTAGCAATATTCAAACGTCCGTCTGTTTATTTGTCTGTATATAAGCGAATTACTCCCATAGTTTTCGAGATATCGATCTGAAACTTAGCACCTGACCTTTTCTCTTCTTCTTGAGGAGAAGCTTCTCCTTTAACGTAAGCGTTGCTATCGAACCACTGTGACAAATAGATGCCATACAAACTGAGTGATCAAAATCAAATTTTTGTATGCGAATTTTTTGTATTTGTTAGGTTTTTTCTTGTATCTTCTTGTCAAAAAAAGGAAATAGCTTGAATTTCTGAAAAAGTTAACTTTAAAATAAATAAATAATATTATAAAATAAATTAAAAGTTATACTTAAAATTTAAAATCTAGATAACAAGCTATTCAATCTATGTATAATGAAAAATATTTCAAGCAAAGCAAATATATATTTTTTAATGAAATTTCTAACTATTCTATATTAGCACCCTGTAGTATATGCACACATAAAAAGCAGCAATCAGCAAAAGTTGACTATCAGCTGACTCCAGTCAGCTTGTGCTGGGTGAGAAAAAAAACTTCTCTACAGATACGCACTTGTTATTTCATTCATGAAAATTTTGAAAGTATATTGGATGGGGAAATGCGCATGTGCAGCAAAAGGACACAAGTATTACTAGTACATGCATAAGTATTATATTATACATACGAACCTAACCCACAACAAATACAAGCGAAAATCGTCAAGCAACCGGTGGTTATTACACAATGAGGTTTTTGGATGTTGTCAGCAATATGTTTATTAGGGTGGAGCCAAAAAAAAATTTTTTTTTGCTTAGTCTGAGGGTAAAATTTGTAGATTATAAAAAAGAAAATTTTTGGAAAAAAATGTATCAACTTAAATACATTTTTTGTTGTTATTATTGGAGTTTAAAAATAAATGCCTTAAACAACAATATGAAATTAATTCTAGAAAATATTGTACTAGTTTTCAATATTTCAAAAGTATTGAATTGATATAAGAAGAATGTTTACAAGGGATTTGAAAATTTTGCCTTAAGTAAATTAGTAAAAAAATTGTTTATATTTAACAAGATATATGCAGAAATTCTAACTAATACCTTATTAATGCCTCAAACGTATAAGTGTGATAAGTGTACTCTATAAATCTAAGAACCCCTAGTCTCATCACACACTCAAACTGAACCACTTTTAATTTTTTGAGATTGAGTTATCTTAGTGAGAAATTTTATTTAAAAAAAATCAAATCAGAAATATGAAACACAAAATGCACTCACCAATCTCTTTATATAACCAAAATTCCATATGTTCTCTTTGACTCGTTTCAAACTCGCTAGTGTAATCTTTCTCTTCGCCGTTGCCACTCAAGTGCTCTGTGTCGTAAAGGATATGTGGAAGTCATATGCAACACAAAAGGACTCTTTAGTAATCGTAGTCGTTAGCTTAACTGTTTTTCCATTGCATTATTTAGTTTCTTTTCGTTTGTCTCACTAAGCGGATATGCAAGGAGTAGTCAACGGTAAAATTTATATCTCATAAATTAAGAACTCGCTCAAGTGACTACAATTCACATCAAAAAAATAAAAACCATACAGCCATACGAAACTTTAGGGCGCACGTGTTGACTTGACAATACGATAGCGATGATTCGCAAAATTCTGCAGATGAAATTAATAAAATTTTAATTTAAATTTTTTTTATTTTACAAAATAGTGAAAAAAATATATGAAAATTCTACAATTATTGGATTGGTGAATAAATGTTATATTTGAATTTAATTCATTTAGTGCAGGTTAAAATAATACTAAGGATTAAGAAAAAAAAGCAGAAATGTTAAAGTGCGTACCAGTTCATCTATGAGTTAGCAATTAAAAGCCGCTTTTAAAGTTTTGCAGCAGTGAAGGGAATTTTAGGTAACAGCAGTTTTTTTTTCTTTATAAAAAAAAAATTATAGTTACCACAAATAAATTCACTACCAAATTAATCTATTTGATTTAATCTTTCCAAGCAGAGTAATAATAAATTGTGACTAATTTGAGAAACTCAGCTTAAAAGCAAATAATGAAATTTGTGCTCTTTTCTTAGATGAATTTTTTAGAGCAAAATTTATTTACAAAATATTTTCTTTGATGAAAATATCGAAATTTTTGAAAAAACTAAATATTTCTTTAATATTTGTGTGTGTTGCCCTTTGACTAAACAAACTGCTTCATTGTTGTTCTTTATTTATATTGGCGCGCTTAGCTTCCTTCCCACTGGCAGTCGATTTTTTTTTTTTTGTAATCAATACCACTCGGAATGTGGCGATGATGAAAAACTTTTTACTTAGAGATTTTCCAAACTTTTTACAGTATGTAAAATGTGGTGTGCATGAGTGTACATCTATGTATATAATAAAATCTTTGAAAACTGATTATCAATGGTATTAAGAAAAAAGTTTGCTAAGATGAGTCGTAATTGAAATCAAAAAATTGTAGAAACGGATTTTTAAATCCAAAATTTTTTGTTGTCGCTTAGCCAAAATTTATCAAAATTTTAGTCATATACCATTTAGTTCACTTTTTATTTGTTATATTTGCAAACATAAATATTAATTTTTAAACTTTCGTCGCCATTTAAATATTTTTCTCCACGAAAGTATGTCTTCTCATTACGAATGCAAAATTTTCTTTTCATACCACTCATAAATCCAAGCCTAAATTTAAATAAAAACGCTGATAAAAAAGCACATTAAATTAAATAACTTGGCTCAATGACTCTTAAGACACTTCGCAACTACTTAAGAATTGTTTATGTCGTTAGGATAAAGTGAACTGATTTAGTGTGAAGTAGCTACAAAAAGAAGTTCGTAAAAATAAGGAAATTGCTTATAAAACTACCAGAATATTAAAATAAAATTTAAAAAACATTTATAAATAATCTAAGAAATGTATTATGGGTGGCGGCGCCTTCAGAAATATACTAAAAGTTAAACCGAAAAACCTATTATGACTTTTACCCACTACAATAAATAAACTTATTATTTTGTTCAATTTTTTTTTTTTTTTACAGTCAGGAAACCTATGTATGTCTACTTTTTCTCCAGAGTTTCAGTTTTATTAAAAGAATTAAGCCATTTGCAATTTTATCAAAATTTTTTTAAAGCTTGAAAGCTTTTTACACACCATTTAGATAATTGTTTTGCGTTCCAAAATTGCACTGCGGGCACATAATATATAAAGTATATGGGCCATTCCATACATTCTTTATTTTTGGTCTTTCGTTTTAAAACGTATTTTATGTTAATTGTTTGCATTTAACTTGCGTTTAAGAGCGTTTTATTATAGTGTGAATAAAAACTGTATTTAAATTAATTTTCTAGAAAGTTTTTATTTTTAAATAACAGTACCTAAACAAACACATTAACATACCGAGTACTACAGTGTGTATTTTGTATGAATATGAATGCGCTAATTGAGGCCATCAGCTGTCCAGTGAGCACATGCAAATTAGTTCTAATGAATTTAATTGCTTCTACGCAATACATGAGCTTGTACAGTGGGACGAGGAGGAAAATTACAAATAAATTGAGTAACGCAAAATAAAAAGAATTATAATTAAATGGCAAAAACAATTAAATGGAATATACTAATTATTATTGAAAGATATTTTTGATAGACTTTAACCAATTTATTTATTTACACATATTTTTTTAAATTAATTCGTAATTCTCTGAAAATTATTTTCTTGTTTCCTTTTTCCAATATCAAGCAACCACCGTATTGTTTAAGAAACTTCAATTTGTTTAGTATGTATGTGTTTAGTATGTATTCTTCTTCGAATTTTCTCTAATAAATCACACGATGCTTAAATTGTCGGCAAAAATTATTTATACAAAATAATTGGAAGATAAAAATTTCTTTGAGCTTCTGAAAACCGACACTACATTTCTTACTCACTGTATATGGCCTTGCATTTTTCTACCTTTAGTCAACCTAAAGCGTTCACTTGAACTGTTGGAGTATATTTACATAATATAATTTCTCGTCTACATAATTTCACAAAAATATTTCTTTTAAAAACTATCACTTTACTTGCGAAAGGAAAAGCAATATTGATATAATAATAATATAAGAAATATGTAAGCATATATAATGATAATCATATTGGTAAGGCATGTCGTATATCTAATCATTACAACTAATCGAGCTAGGTGTTCATAGAACACTGGTAAACAGCTGATATGAATGTAAATAGAACGTTGGTAGTTTACGAATCAAAAGGTTTGTTTATAAATTTACACGGGAAATTTTCTTTTAATACACATTTACCTATCCACTTGTACTCACAAAGTTATATATTTAGGGTATGCATTTTTTTGCGACAAAATTTGTGGTTTCGGTCTCAGGTGTCATTAAATTACAAAGCGACTATTGTTGAATATACTTAGATTACTTTTTGGATACATATTTGAAGAGAAAAGCTAATCAAAGAAAACACACGTACTTTTAACCTTTTAATGAACTTATAGCACACCCATGTATACACACATGCTATATATGCAAATACCAAACACAGCATGTACAGTGCGTATACGTAACTTCCTTTGTGCGATATAACAAAGCTGATGATTAAGAGGAGCATTTTGAAATCTACTATAAAGTATAAATATTTTGAAAAATATTAATTAATGGAACGTGAATAAAATAGTACACTGCTTTTTAATTATATATTTAATCAATAAATTAATATCCGTTTAAAATACAAACAAAGACTGCTGGCATATGAGAGAAAGAGTTCAATTTGCTTTAATAATTAAATAACTGATTAATTACATAATATAATTACTGAGCAAACAACGGGATATATGAATTTTGTCATTTACAGTTGGTTACATGAGCAATTCAGCGTTAAAATTTTTTAAATAAACTTTTCAAGCGATAATTATTTATTTATCTTTTGAGTACAACCATGAAATTGTGTGATCGGCAAAAACAGAGTACCATAATAGTCTTTAAAATTAGTCATTTATTTATAAATTTATGTGAGAAAAATTTACGAAGCAAAAGCTCAAAATGTGGATAAATTTAAGAAATTTGTGAAGGTTCATGAACCAAACGCTTTGAACTTTTCTATAAACATTTAGTTATTACTGGCCTAAACCTCAAATACTAGATTGATTTTTAAGTTAATAAGGCTTAAGTTTAAAAACTAGGATTTGCTGCAAGCGCATGTAACTACTAAAAACACGTTGGCTATATTTTTTAGAACTTTTGAACATATTTTTCGCGCCATTTCCTGCTGAACTCTCATCGAAACGTTACATCAACGCATTGTACATATGTATACATAAAAGAATGATGGCTTGTGGTAGAGGTATGTAGGTAAGTGTGTTGCTATAAATTTAGCTGAAATATTTTTACTATACTGTAAAACTTTTCTATGCAAGAGAGGTGGAGGAAATTTTAATGAAATAAAATATTTTATGTGTAGTTTTATTTCCAAAGAAATATTCACAAAGCAAAACACTATAAATTCAAATTTAAGGACTTTTATCGCACTTTGAGTTGAAATATTTTTTAATGAAAAAATCCAAAAATTTTATATGCTTTGTAGAAATTTGAATGCTCTTCCAAAAATGTTCAAAAAGCTTTTTTTGTAACTCTAACCATTCCAAAGATATAAACGATTGAAATTTGATTATTTTAAGACACATTTTTTTCTTGTTTTATACCTCAATTAAAAAAAATCATTAAAAATCGGAAAGCTTTTAGATTTGTATGAAAAAATTGTATCTTCGAACGTACTGCTGTCCGCTTATAGGATTGGTTTTGTATGAAAATATTAATGAAAACGTTGTGCTAACGGTGTGGGCTGTCTATATTGAGAAATTTCACTGTATTTTTATTGACACATATGCAGATCAGATTTCCTCATTAGACATCTATCTACACTCAAATCATATCAACAATCTGATTGTGAGTAGCCACAAACCAACCAATAAAGAGACAAGCGGCTACATTCTGGAAGGACCGTCTTAGAAATGCAAAGACTTTTTCATTTTTTCTATTACACATCTCATGTCAGTCTTTTCGTGATGTGAGTGCTTGTCGGATATTTCCGTCCATCATTTTCATGTTATCATATCGGTGCGATAAAACAGATGGCACTCTTCCATTTACTGTAGTTGCGTATACGTACTGGTGATGTTGGCAAAGAGTGATAGCAGGGTTGTGCTATTGCACTTCGACTCAGCAACGCTAAATTCTATTATCCGAATAGAAACGCTTGATAAAATGGAATATTATAATCACTAATATAATTTTCAAAGACTGTGGCTGTTGCTGTCTGTTTTCATCATTTTCTTTTTCCAACACTTTTTCTTCTGTTCTCTCCTCAGGTCATGGTTTCTGCGTGAAATTTTGTCGAGCTATATTTTTATGTATATGGGTCCCATGACAGTTGTTCGCCGATAGAATTGATCTTGGTTTGTTAGGTGTGTCGTAAGTAGAAGTCGTTACCAATCAGGTATTTAAGTGG